CCTTCGCAAGGACCGGGCGTAGCCACACTCGGTTCAACTAAAGTGAGAGAGACAGACACCCGCCGGTCACCTTTAAGCAACGAGTGCTCGTAGCGGTGAAACCAGTCTCGCGTAAGCGTACGCGTAATGTCGGTCCGGGCCGCTTCATCTCACAATGCCGCTGAACCAAAGTATGACATGCTGGTAAGCAGTATGACTTATATCGCCCACAACTCACTTGTGTTCTACTCGTGCATATAACATCAACGCATAAAACCTAGGCTCTGATACCACTGTTGGGGAACGTAATAATTTCAAAAAAAATTCTACGCACACGCAAGATCATGGTGATGGCATAGCAACGAGAGGGGAGAGTGTTCGTCCATGTACCCTCGTAGACCGTAAGCGGAAGCGTTATGACAACGCGGTTGATGTAGTCTTACGTCTTCATGATCCGACCGATCCAAGCACCGAACCTACGGCACCTCCGAGTTCAGCACACGTTCAGCTCGATGACGATCCCCGGGCTCTGATCCAGCAAAGCTTCGGGGATGAGTTCCGTCAGCACGACGGCGTAGTGACGATGATGATGCTCTACCGGCGCAGGGCTTCGCCTAAACTCCGCGACGATATGACCGAGGTGGAATATGGTGGAGGGGGGCACCGCACACGGCTAAGGAACGATCCATAGATCAACTTGTGTGTCATGGGGTGCCCCCCTGCCCCTGTATATAAAGGAGCAAGGGGAGGGCCGGCCAAGGAGGAGGAGGCGCGGCCAAGGGGGGAGTCCTACTCCCACCGGGAGTAGGACTCCTCCTTTCCTAGTAGGAGTAGGAGAGAAGGAAGGGGAAGAGAGAAGGGAAGGAAGGAGGGGGTGCGGCCCCTCCCCCTAGTCCAATTCAGACTAGGCCTTGGGGGGGCGCGCGACCTGCCCTAGGCAGCCCCTCCCTCTTTCCCGTATGGCCCAATAAGGCCCAATACTTCTCCCCGGCGAATTCCCGTAACTCTCCGGTACTCCGAAAAATACCCGAATCACTCGGAACCTTCCCGAAGTCCGAATATAGTCGTACAATATATCGATCTTTACGTCTCGACCATTTCAAGACTCCTCGTCATGTCCCCGGTCTCATCCGGGACTCCGAACTCCTTCGGTACATCAAAACTCATAAACTCATAATATAACTGTCATCGAAACCTTAAGCGTGCGGACCCTACGGGTTCGAGAACTATGTAGACATGACCTAGAACTATTCTCGGTCAATAACCTGGATGCCCATATTGGTTCCTACATATTCTATGAAGATCTTTATCGATCAAACCGCATAACAACATACGTTATTCCCTTTGTCATCGGTATGTTACTTGCCCGAGATTTGATCGTCGGTATCCAATACCTAGTTCAGTCTCGTTACCGGCAAGTCTCTTTACTCATTACGTAATGCATCATCCCATAACCAACTCATTGGTCACATTGCTTGCAAGGCTTATAGTGATGTGCATTACCGAGAGGGCCCAGAGATACCTCTCCGACAATCGGAGTGACAAAACCTAATCTCGAAATACGCCAACTCAACATGTACCTTTGGAGACACTTGTAGTACTCCTTTATAATCACCCAGTTACGTTGTGACGTTTGGTAGTACCCAAATTGTTCCTCCGGTAAACGGGAGTTGCATATTTCTCATAGTTACAGGAACATGTATAAGTCATGAAGAAAGCAATAGCAATATACTAAACGATCAAGTGCTAGGCTAACGGAATGGGTCATGTCAATCACATCATTCTCCTAATGATGTGATCCCGTTAATCAAATGACAACTTTTTTGTCCATGGATAGAAAACTTAACCATCTTTGACTCAACGAGCTAGTCAAGTAGAGGCATACTAGTGACACTATGTTTGTCTGTGTATTCACACATGTATTATGTTTCCGGTTAATACAATTCTAGCATGAATAATAAACATTTATCATGATATAAGGAAATAATTAATAACTTTATTATTGCCTATAGGGCATATTTCCTTCACTTTTTGTTTGCATTGACCCACTTTTGGTTATCTATGAGGTAGGACTGCTCCAAAGGAGCATAATCCCCCTTCTTTTTAGCCCATGCAGCATCATCATCAGTGGCCTGGCTCTGTGGGTCTGATCGGCTGTGGTTTCTCCACAACCCAGTTAAGATCAGCACAAACAAATGCCAGTTCAACTTTCTTCCTCCACTCAGTGTGGTTGTCACCTCTGAGTGTCGGAACTTCTTTTAGGCAACTCATCAAGTGAAAGCCTCCTGAAATCACAATTTAAGTGACATCAATAAAACAATCATATGCAATAATCTAACGTTGGTCAAATTAAAACATACAATTGTCTATGCAATTAAATCTATATTACCGTTGGGAAAAATATTAGAAATAAATGCACCTCTAAATTTCAATGATAAAACATGATCATGTTATTAACAACGTCGGTCATAAAAAAATAACATAACCATATCATTTCAATAATTACTTTAACATGCTCTTAAGAAACATAATTCTATCGAAACTTTTATTTTCTTTCTAAAAGAGCACTATCAATTATATACGCAGCGGAAAAACATGAATAAAAAATTCATGAACTTTTCTTTTCTGAAAAAAATAATTCTATTCTTCTCTAGAAAAAAAATGGCTGCAACACAGCCTAGCGCGCGGCTAAGCTGCGGCCTCGGCCCAGCGCGCCCGCGGCGGCTCGCGGCCTCGCCCAGCACGCCCGCGGCAGTTGGTGGCCTGAGCCCAGTGCGCGAGAAGGCCCGTAGCGGAGGAAGCGTCCCATGGCCTGCTCCCCGCGCCACGCCCAGCGCGAGCCGGCCTGCCTCGGCCTCGCCCGCGATTACTTTCAGCCCAAAAGGCCAGTGGGAGGCTAGGGTTTTCATCTAGACCGTTCAACAAGATCGTACGGCTGTCCGCTGGTTTCGCTGGAACAAAACAGGGAGTCCAACCCCAGTCCAACCCTAGCGCCCCCACACTCGTCTCAGCTGCTCCCCGGCCGCCCAGTCCAGCCGCCGGCGGCGGCAGCGGTTCCACCGCGCCATGCCCGCGCCTCCTTTCCCTTCCCCGCTGTTCTCCCCTTTCCCCCGCCTTTCCTTTGACGGAGAGAGAGCGAGATGCCTGCAGCACCGTCCTCTGTTCCCCTTGCGTCGTCTCTCTCTGTGCTGCAGCCGGGTCGGGGCTCCGCTGGCCGCCGGCGATGGTGTAAGGCCACCACGCCGCGCGAGCCGCGCGCGAGCATCTCCCTTTCCCCGCTCCATCTCCACCTACTCTGACAGTGAGGACGTGGCTACTTTGCCCCTTGTGCTCCCATTCGTTTTCGACGAGGGCAGAGCACTCTACGGCGGCGTCGTGATCATCCCCCTCGCCGGCTGCGCGTCCACCTTGCGGTGAGCGCGCCGCCGTCGAGTGGTTTGTTCGCGATGCCCTGTGCCCCGTGTGGGGTAGTTCTTCGTCCGACGCCTCGGCTTGCCGATGCGCGTCCGGATCGAGAGGAACGGTGCGGCCTTGCGGCGGCGCTCTTTGCCGGCGAGGCCCGAGGCCCTAGTCCAGTGAACTTTTGGGGATCCTTTTTTTTGTTTTCTTTTCTCTGTGCCCTTCTAGGGTTCTTTGGGGTTTAGGGATCAAACTTTTGCTTTGAATTCTTTCTACCGAAAAGGTCTAACCCGATCTGGCTACCTGATACCATTGATAGATTGTTTTGGATCGGATAGGTTAGATCTTTCGGTACACCTACCTTCTCCTGGTGCGGATGAACTCGATCCAGCGCCGGCCATGGTGGTGTGGAGATGGCGGCGATGTGGACTGAGATGATGGCGGCGGAGCTTCCCGTCGGCCTAGCGCAAAATCCTAGATCGGATTGGTGTTTCGGTGGTGTTGTGGTGCACGGTCAACCTTGTACTTCGTGCCCCGGCACCCTACCTCTTTATATTGCGCTGGCGACAGGGGCCCACCAACCATGGTTTGGTTGGGCGCCCCCGATCAGGGCGCGAGTCAGGGGCTCGTTCGACCCGTTGGGTTCGAACAGGATAGAGATCAACCTAACAGAGGCTACTCGCAAAAAAGAGTGAGTGGAGGAATTTTTTGGCCTGTGCCACTACTGAAGTCGGATATTCAAAGGCTGCCACTTGAACTTCACGAGTTCGGTCTATGCCACTACCGCTTGCAAAAAAATAGCTACATGCCCTCGGCGCCGTGTCCACCAGTTGCTGTCTCCTTTGGGGTAGCTTGCATTTAGGACCCACCACTTCGTCATATCGGCTGTAGTTGATGTACATGCGGCCTGGAATGCATGATTTATCATTTTGCTTTTTTTTTCTGTATGTTTGTTGTGTACAAAGTACTTGTCTGGTGATTTGGTACATCATTTTGGTGTGGTTGCAACCTTGGCCTGCAGCAACCGATGATCTCTCATGTATGACCATGCAACCTGTGTATATGGAAAACTTGAAAGAGGGCAGATTAGTTTACTTATTCCTTTTGTGTTTACGATATCGATTCATTTGAAATTGTCAGGATTATGATTATTGTTTCAAGTTTTTCCTAGTTTCGCATGCAGGGAAAACTAATTTTGGTACCCCATGTTCTCCAAAAAGTGAAATAATTCATGGATGTAAATTAGGCTATATCTTGCAAAATATGACTTGTTACTTATACGAAAGAGATAACTTTATGGCTGCTCATTTGTATCTTGAAAGTTTTTGCGTGGTTCACAAAATGATCACAATTTTTGACACAACATTGCAAGTTCGTGGTGAGAGATGAACGGGAAAATGAGCTTCACTGTTCCAATTGTATTTTCAATATTTGTACAATGTGTCATTTTCTAGTCTTCTAGTTTTTCCAGCAAAGAAATACAAAAAAAAAATCCCTACTAGAAACCCATCATTATCATGCAAAGGGCTCTTCATCACAGTGAGATGAACAGATTAGCTCACAGAAAAGGAAAAAGATAGCTACATATTTTCATGTCATGGTCGAAGCAACGAGCTTCACCTTCATCGTCCGCCTTTTTGTCTTAATAATGTAAGGTCATTGCTGCAGTTGTCCATGGAGAAAAATGCCTCTTTTACTTCAGTTACTTTGCCGTAGACATCATGCATCGTTGGGCGATCCTTTGGTGATTCCGCAGAGCATAATAAGCCAAGTTTAAAGAGACGGAGAGCACATATATGCTCCAGCGCAAATGTGTTGCATTCTTGCAAGTTTGGAATATGATCAACACACTGATCTCCCACCTCCGTAGTAAGGTTGGGTTGAATGTCTTGGGTTCGTGAAAGTGATGCTTCCACATACTTGCGGAGTGTCAAGCCATCACTGAACTCTTCACTAGTAGGCCGTTTCTGTGTTAGCATTTCCAAAAGAACAATGCCATAGCTGTAGATGTCTCCCTGGGTGGAGATTTCACCGCCCATACCATACTCTGCAACAATGTTTTGAAAAAAAAGTTCTTCAAAGGAGCTCAAACTAAAACATGATAGTATTAGTAAAAAAAACTAGCGATTGATACAATTACTCATACTAGACTTTGTCAATCTTATTTGAGAATGTGTTCATAAAATGTACTCACCAGGAGGTATGTACCCAATAGACCCTCTTGGTCCAACTATGCTTGTTGTACCACTCTGCCCTCCAGATGAACAACCATGAATTAGCTTCGCCAGACCAAAGTCGCAGACACGTGCAGTATCGTCATTGTCAAAAAGTATGTTGCTTGGTTTCAGATCACAGTGAACTACCGGTGGGGTACACTGGTTATGTAGGTATTCAAGAGCACAAGCAATGTCAATTGATATGCATATCACTCCGCCTAAACTCAAACTACCACGCTGGTGGTTATGAAGTCGGTCCTCAAGGCTTCCGTTGGCCATATACTCAAAGACTAGTGCCTTGAACTCATTTCCCACTGGGTCATAAGTTGAGCACGCGGTTATCACCTTCACGAGATTCCGGTGGCGGATGTGTTGCAATGCTTTGCACTCAGCAATGAAGCTATGCAATGCGCCATGCTGATTGAGCTTGAAGACTTTGACAGCAACCGTACCATCTTCCGCGTCAAACCAACCTTTGTAGACGGTCCCAAATTGCCCGGAGCCGACTACATTGGCTAGAGAAAGACTATTTGTTGCTTGGATTACATCACCATATGTTATCCTTTTCAGCTCCATGTATGAATGGACAATGTTCTCATTAGATTTGTACCCCGTCTTCAACCAGAAAATGAACATCCCCAAGATCAAAGCTAGTGCGGCAAGAGCTGATAGAGCTATCAACACTGGGATGACAAACTTGTGTTCTTTTGTGGATTCAGAAGAAAAGCATCTAGGCAGCTCTTGTACCGCAAAATTTGCACAAAGGTATGGATTTCCTTGGACAAAAACGCCACTTGTGTTAGAAAAAACTCCACTAGTGGGAATGGGTCCTTCCAAGTCATTAAAGGACATATTCAGATACTGCAACGTGGTGAAGGTCTCAAGGAACTCCGGTATTGTACCAGATAGATTGTTGTGGGAGAAATCTAACACTTGGATGGCTTTGAGGCTTGATAGTGATTGTGGAATGCTTCCTTGCAGGAGGTTCCCTTCTAAGTGAAGCGATTCCAACTGGACACAGTTGCCAAGTGTGGACGGGATTATGCCTGTAATATTGTTATGAGAGATGTTCAAGGATCCAAGGTTTATCAAGCTACCTATCTCTAGTGGTAAGGACATTGAGAGTTGATTGTGTGATAAATCAAGTAGCCAGCTCAGTTGGTTCAAGCTGCCCAACATGTGTCCGCTTATGCTTCCACCAAGAGTATTACATGAAAGGTTCAATGCAACCAAGTTCTGACAACTAGCTAGACTTTCAGGTATGCTTCCAATCAATTGATTTTCTTGCAAATAAAGCTCTTCCAGTTGATGTAGGTCCCCAATGGAAGGAGGTATCTCTCCTGAAAATTTGTTCCTTGACAGGCTAAGCATTGCCAGATTGCGTAGCTGACCAAGGGTGAAAGGTATAGGCCCAATGAAAAGATTAGTATCAAGATAGAGCATGGAAAGACTTGAAAGGTTTCCAATCTCCAAGGGGATGGTGCCAGAGATGTTGTTTGACCGAAGGGTTAAAGCGGTCAAGCTTTTGGGGAGATTTGCTACAGAATTTGCTGGGAAATTCCCTTTCAAGTTGTTTTCACCGATGTTAAGTTTCAGCAGTTGGGTACAATTCGCCAAAGAGGAGAAGAATGTCCAGGCTCCAGCCTCTAGATGATTTGAGTACAACATTACGTACTCCAAATTTTTCATGGAGCTGAAAGAAGGAACCACACCAGTCAGAGAGTTGTTGCCCATATGGATATACATCATGCTGGAGGCATTTTGTAGGGAGGCAGGAATGTTACCCACAAAATGATTATTAGCCATGCTCAGTGTTTGGAGGTTAGGAAGTGTGATACCCAAATCAGAAGGCAGCGTTCCTTCAAGATTGTTGCTGGCTAGCGTAAGATAATTCAATGAAGACATATTGTAAATGGGGGGTGGGACTATTCCTGACAGACTGTTATATGAGAGACCAAGGCTTTGTAGTCCGGCAAGTTTACCCAAATCTGGAATGGATCCTTGCAACTGGTTGTGCGAGAGGTCGAGTGAGGTAAGGGACGAGAGGTTTGCCACCGACGACGGCACGACTCCAGAAAGACTGTTTTGGGAGAGATCTAGGTACGTGAGTTTTGAAGAGAACATCATGAAATGTGGAATTGCACCAGAAAGATTGTTGTGCCAAAGGTGTATCTCGGTGATGGTTGAGCTGTTGAAAAGGGACGCATGGATCGCCCCTTGAATGCTGTTGTTGTCCAGAGACAGGTAACGAAGCGAGGAACTATTCGCCAGTGACAGCGGGATTTCTCCGTCAAGAAAATTGTCAGAGAGGCTGATGTACTCTAGAGCCGGCGAACTCCCGAGCAGTGCCGGAATCTCACCGGAAAGCCCATTGCCGCCCAGGTCTAGCGAAGAAAGGTTGTGAAGCGCGCCGAGGGTGAAAGGGATGGTGCCGTTCAGCGCGTTGAAGCTGAGGTTGAGGTACCGGAGTCCGGAGAGCCGGCCGAGCTCCGGCGGGATATGACCGGAGAGCCGGTTGTTGGGCAAGTGGATCCTTACCAGAGAAGTGAGGTTGGCGATGCAGGGCGGGATCTCACCGGCGAGGCCTTGGGCCTCCATCTCTAAGGCTACCACGAGGGGTGGCTGCCTTGGCCTCCTGGCGCATGAGACGCCATGCCAGGTGCAGAAATCTGGTGCGGTGGTGTGGTTCCATGTGGCCATGGCTGTGGTGGCACCGTGGAGGCGGGACTTGAGGCAGAGCAGAGCATCTCTGCTCGTGTCCGTGGTGCCATCAGCCGGCGCTGCTGCACATGACAAGGGGTAGAAAGCTGATGACACGAGGAGGAGTGTGGCTAAAAACAGAGGAGAAACCATGTTGTTGGTATGTAACGTGGTGGACATGAATGAAGTTCCAACTGTCCTGCTGCCTTTGATACTCAGGGATGCTTTAATAGAGTGGAGATGTGAGTACGTTGATTCTCATTGACGTTAAGATCCACCATTGAACCAGCTGTGCGTTCTCTTTCATCCACTCGTTTTCTTGTGCAGGAAAGTGGGCGTCACATCCTCCACGTCTGGGTCATGGAGTCATAGTCGCCGGCCGCATAGATCGTTATCTCTGAGAATCGAATCGAGTGCGCGCGCCACTTGAGGCCACTGCTGTTAATTAGTAGTACGTACGTGCGCCGTATAAGCTCCGCGTTGAGCCGCACACTATACTTGACTTGAGCGACCATGCATGCCTCTGGCTTCTTCGAGCCATCTTTGCTGTCGGCAAGACGACTACCACATGCGCGCCAGTCTTCAAAGTTGGGCGCCTGCCTAGTCGGCTTGTCTCCACTCTCAGTCAAGTCGAGCGTGTCTATGCCATTGCCAAGTAGCGTGTGTCTCCATCCATGCCTTGCAAGTTGCCTGTATATGCACACGGAATACACTGCACGGACGACAGTTCCGGCACAACCTCCCAACAATACTTTCTCCCCAACCGCGCTCCTGCATGCGCGCACACACGCTTGCTGTTCGCGCTGCCTCGCAAGAATCGTGCAAACATCGGCGACCTGTTTATTGCAGAGAAGCTAGAGCATCTCCAACAGGTGCCCAACGCGCGACGCGCTAAAATCTAGTTTGCGGCGCGCGCAACGTCAGGTTTAGCGTGGCGCGTAGCGCTGGCTCTAGCAGTAGCGCGCGCGCAGCTCTAGCAGTGCGCTAAAATGCAGCGCGCGCGAGCAGCCGCGCATCCACATTTGTTGCATTTTACACAACACATTCATCACACAAAACAAAGACATGTCATATAATTTTTAGATCATCACAAACATCATTCAACTAAGTTTAAATGAATAGTTCAATTTATTACAACTCATCAAACAAATAGTATTTTGAGAAATACAACAAATAGTTCAACAATACAACATCAAACGCACAAATCATGATGATCTTCGGCGGCCATTCCAAGCCCAGCACTCCTCAATGAGATTTTTCTTGAGTTCATTATGCGCTGCCGGGCGTCGATGGCATGATAAGAGGCAACAAAACGGGCCACCCTTTCAGCCCTCCGCCGCACTCGCACGGGATGTCCCAAGAGCTCATACTGAGAGTAGTCTACATCTTGGCCACACTCATTCTCGAAGATCATGTTGTGCATGATCACACAAGCATGCATTATGTACCAAAGCATCTTCTGATCCCAAAATCTAGCCGGCCCTCTCACAATAGCAAACTGGGCTTGCAAAATCCCAAAAGCTCTCTCCACATCTTTTCTAGCCGCTGCGTGAGCATTTTGGAAGTCAAGATATTTCTTACCTTCCGGTTGTTTCACTACTAGAAAAACCGCTACTAATGGCGCACCTAATTTGGCCATTAATGGCGCATCACCGGTGCGCCATTACTAGCACGCCATTAGTAATTTTTACTAATGGCGCACCAGTGGTGCGCCATTAGTATCTGGTATACTAATGGC